CAATTTAATAAGTTAATGTCTACCAGAGGAATGTGCTCAAGGCCTGCCTTTCAGGCATGTTGTATTTACTGATCCCTCACCTGGACTTTTATGTTGCTGGCTTGGACCCTTTTGCCAAAAGTCAGCACCACCCCCTCCTTCCCTTTGAAAGCCACGTGAAGCCACTGAGGGAAACCAGGCACCTAGCCACATTTTGATTCCAAAATAGCTCAGTGAGATCACTGTAATCAAAATAGAAGTCTCATAATGAGGTCTTCGCATTGACCCCTCAGCCTTGTCTGGGAAAGAGGCACCAATCAATCGCATTACAGGCAATTGGATAAGGCCCTTACCTCCCTTCTGTGGGAGGTTCTTCAGCAGGTGTGATCTAACAGTGCCCCAGATCCCCCTTTTGTATAGAGGGCCTGCCCTCCCCAGTTACCTGCTCCAGATCATCTCCCTAGAAGAACAGACCCAGCTGTGGCAAGCTCAGAGTCTGGCCTACCTGCCTTCTCCCAAAGGAAAGGCAATCAAGACTGATGTGGGACTTACCTGAACTGTGGGTGAACTGAATGAATGAGTATAGGTTTTTTTGTTTTGTTTTTAAAAAATGTGAATGAGGAGTTAGTAGGGGCTCCTAAATCAGTGGGATTGCTTGACAATGGTGACAAATCACACTGCAATCCTTGAATTCTGGGCTTTCCTCGCACTAGTTGACTGGGTTCCTCTGCGGGGCAGAGCCTTCCAGCAGCCTCAGGGGAGCAGACCTAGGGCTGAGATATCGCTAAAGCCCAAAACATTCATCAGCTTAAGCAGAACTGCTGCAGATTGCTAGAACAAGAAAGGGCATGTACCTAAGTCGTGAGGTGTTACGGGTACTCATTAAATGATTTGGGGGAAAGGTGTAACTTTTGAGTAAGATTTATAGGACTTCAGATCTTCCTATGACCGGGAAGGATGAGCCAACAAGACAAAGGTAACAAAATTATTTCTCTGACTGGTGTCTCCGTAAAAACGTGGCTGATACCTCTTCCCAAGGCCCTTACCATTGTCAGACGTCGGATATTTGGTTTGAGCCTGCCTGTTCCACAAGGTAAAGCGGAGGAGATGAGGTACAGCTGAAGGTGGAACGGGATGGTTGCCAATCCTCTCGTCAAGGGAGAAGACGGTGGTGAGGTGGGCCTAGGGCCTGGGACAGGGGAAGAGGGGGGTGTGACTCCACAGATCTGTCTGTCCTGGTTCTGGTCCATTAAGGACCATGGAGCCAAGCCCAGAGGGAGACATCACTGCGTGCATGTTAGGAACATGGAGAAGCAGACTAGTCTGCTGCTCCTTCGCTTTTTACCCCTGAGCTTGGATGTTGAATCACCCCACGTAGGGGCTTAACTAGGAACCTTTGTGGGGTGGGGAAGAAACTATGTGATGACCTAGTGAACATTGGGTAAGAACACAAACCCGATTAGATAAGCGAGAGACTGAACAACGTGATGTCCTAGAGACAGTTGGGTCTGGTGTGGCCTCAGTGCCAGCCTGCTCTTAAGAGAGGGATGTGCCAGATGGGATTTGGAAACTTCTAGTTCCAAACACGGGTACTTTCTCCTAATCCTCCGTATCTGCCTTCCTGTACTCCAAGCAAAATCAAATTAGCCTTTGTGTTAATTTAATATATAGCCAGTACCCCAGCCAAGGAAAGGGCCTGAGGCTTCAGTGTGCCTAGGGGGGAAAATGTACCATTCACCATCATGAATGGGACAACACTGCAGAAGCCTTTGGGGTTTGAGCCTCTATCTTGTATGCCACCCCTCCTCTCAGAAGAAAAAACCTATTAGTTACTGCCCATGGAAGGAACCACTGTTAGGAAAAATATTTCTTTTTTTGTTGTTGCTGTTCTTAGAGGCAGGGGGAGAAGCAGGCTCCCCGCTGAGCGGGGAGCCCGATGTGGGGCTCGATCCCAGGACCCTGGGATCATGACCTGAGCCGAAGGCAGACGCTTAAGCATCTGAGCCACCCACCCAGGCATCTCAGGAAAAGTATTTCAACATATGTCTACATTACCTCTGTCTTTGTTTTAAATCAACCATGGAGCAAAAATCAAAGTTTTAAAAGCGAAACGGCATCCAGACAACAGCTGAGGTGACAACAGTTGTCCACAGCCATCCCACAGCCCTTGAATAGTTGTGAAATCCTATTCCTGAAATTAATAAATTTAAAAAATTCGTGAGTTCTCTACAGCCAAGTATTTTGCTGAATGAGTAAACACACAACTACATATGCCTTCCTCCAGCAGAAATGTCTAAGCAGCCTTTACTAATTTTAGCCATAAAGAGAACGCCTGGCCGGGAGGCAGGAGCAGGGGGTCTAGGTTAACTGACCACAGGCCAGCCCTTTCCCTTAGAGCTTTAGTCTCTTGTTCTCCCAACGAGATGGGAGTAGAGCTGAGGCTTCTCAGCCGCTGACATTTGGGGGTTCAAATGATTAATTTACAGGAAGAAAATGAGAAGCTTGTTTGACAGCTTTTAGCTTGGTAACTCTACTTCAAGTCCCAGGGACTTTCTGCCGCTAAGTGTGCAGGATGAAATGGGAGAAAGAGGGTGTAGCTACACGAGCAGTTTGAAACATTCCAGGGGGAGAGGAGACCATGAAGGCTCGGCAGTAACTGGAGAGTTTGCTGTCCCTGAGCAGGACGTGCCTAATAAAAAATGAAAGACTCTGAAATGGAAAACTTCCAGGTAAAACTTCCAGGGTCAAAGTGTATTTGCTTTTCTGCTGGCTGGACCTGGCACTAGATAGGCCTGCATCGCCGGGACTTGGTTGGCAAACCGGAGTTCACTTTGCCACACTGTACAGCGCAGAGATAAAAGCCCTGGTCGGGGCAGGGCCCTGCTGAGGAGGAGAAGGGCCGAGTAAGTGGCTGTGCCCCGGAAGCGGATGAAGCGCCACACCCAGGGCTGGAGGCTCCACGTGGATGGTTACAGGCAGTGGGGCCCGCAGCAGTGGTCCCTTTCTTCCTTGAGAGACTTCACCCGTTTTTCTTTGTGGATTTCGGTAGAATGGTCCCTAAAATCATCCCAGATCCCCTATCGCTTACAGGAGCACTGAGCTATACAGCTCACCACGTTCCAGCCCCCCACCTACCTCAGCACCCCGCTACACAGGGCTCCGTGCCCCCCAGCTTAGAGAAGTCCGCCCTTTGGTGAGACAGGCTGACGGCAGACTTTCATAATTTTCTTCAAAGGCAGAAGCTCCTCAGGTGAAAGGGCTTGCTTACAGCAGGGTCTTCTCAGAGCACTCCTGGAATAAAAAGGATGCAGACCAGACCTGGTGCCTGGTCGGAGCTGAGAAAGGGTACATTTGCTTTTGTGCTGTTATCTCTGAAGAACTCAAGGAACCAGGAAGAAACAAAGTCTTGGGGTAAAATGAAGCCAAGAAGATGGGAGAGGGTAGCCATCTCCCCAAAGTTCGGGGCTAGTCAGAGGGAGAGACCGATGAATGGCTTGTCAAGGCAGTGGCTCTCCCCTGGTGCCCGAACCTGTTGAAACTATGCAGTCAGTTAAGCATCTGCCTTTGGCTCAGGTCACGATCCCGGAATCCCGGGATCGAGCCCCACATCAGGACTCCCTGCTCAGCGGGGAGTCTGCTTCTCCCTCTGACCCTCCCCACCCCCTCATGCTCTCTCTCAAATAAAATCTTAAAAAAAGGAAAAACTATGCGGTGTGAAGGATGGGTGGTGCATTTCCATCTTCAGGTCCACAGCTTCATCAAATTCTCCACAGTCTATGCCCCAAACATGCAGCAAACCCTCGGAACAAATATAGACGAAGAGCCCAGGAACACTGGGCTCCACCATGTTGGGTGAGGCAGGAGTTTCCATCGTACAGGTGTCCTTTGTTAAGCTTGCCAGCCTCCTACAGATCACTCATTCCACCATTACAACCCTGTGGTTTTGTATTAACACATCATCTTACCGACGAAGAGGTCAAAGCTCAGGAACGCAGGTTTCTCTCTTCTATCATACAGTGAGGCACCACAGGTTAAAGGGTATGGGCCTAAGTTCACCAGACTCAGAGGTTCTTCATCCTGCCTCCCAATCAATACAATTTATATTACCATTTTTTTGTTTTGAAGTATTTTAACTTCAGTTCCTGACAAGAATAATCATAAGAAAAAGAAAAAAAAAATACAGCCAGAAGCTGAACTACACTGTGAAAGCTGCTGCTCTAGACAAGCAGCATGTGTCCTTAGAAGTGAGGAAGTTTCTGGAAACAGAGCAGGGAACCAGAAGCATGACACTACCAACACCTACCTCTACCCATCTCCTGGTGAAGGAAAAAGGGCACCTTTCTACTAAAAAGGTAATTCAAAGGCTCTAAAACGGGCAAACTTTTCAACAAAGGGTCAGAGAGTGAAGATTTTAAGCATTATGGGCCGTATGTGATTAAAGCCCACCATTGGCAACCTGGTACAGACACAGGCAGTTTAGCTCTACAGGCCAAGGGGTGACCTCACCCCCTCCTTTTATAGCTGACTTCCTTCCCCTCAGGTTAAGGAAGGCCTGTCTTAGGGTGGAAAGGCAGTCTAAGAAAGCTTTAAGAGCAAAAACTTTAGTGCCAGACCCCACCACTCATTAGCTGTGTCATTTTGGTCAAATTACTGTGTTCCTGGGTCCTCATCTGCAAAATGAACACAATACTACTACTTAATTCAAAGATAGTTCTGCAGTTTACAAGTACTTATTTGTGTAAAGGGTTAAATACCTGACATACAGTAATTATAATAGTTACCAGATCTTATTATGGGAGGAACCAACCCCACAGTTCACGCCACCCACCACTCATCAGCTGCAGGAGTAACTGCCACTAATTTCTTATAGATTATAGAACAAGCACTGAGCCCAGATCCTTCACCAAACTCGCAGACTAGCCAAACTGTTCAGGACTCGCGCTAGGAAGGGCAGTTCATGAACTTGAGCATCAGCAGTCACACCAAGGACTTGCTCACAAAAACACAAAATCACAACAGTGCAGTCCATAAGAAGTTTATTACATCTTCAAGGCTTCAAGACATTACAGTGCAGACTCCTCTCCCAGAGAAGGATCCTTCAGACCCTGGGAACCACTATCCAGATGAATGGCTCATTTGTCATTTTCATAGGCAGCTGGGTTCTTCCTCTTGGATTTCTCAAACTCCTGGGTCCCCCATGTGTAGACGAGATAAAACGCTACAAACGCTTTAAAAATTAAAAGTGAGAGTTAAGTATCGAGCCCACGGAAGACCCCAGGGTCCCAGTCTTTTCTGACTCACTGCAGGCTCTGCCCTACTGTCTCTAGTTTCCAAGAAGCCACTTTTAAACCAGACGATCAAGGAAGGTTACATCATACACCCATTTTGCAGGTGACCAAAAGAAAGGGCCATCCCAGGAAAATCTGTCACCAAACCTTCCCTCTCTTCTCCCCCGTTGCACATTTTTTAAAATGTTAGAGGTAAGTGAGACATAATTCAGTAACACTTCACCATTTAACACCAGCGCACACTTCTGTGGGTTGTATTTTTTTTTTTTTTTTGCCAATTCACAACGCGTAGCTACTGTCAGCCCTATGTACTGCATACTTCACGCTAACAGTTCATCGCTACGAAGTGGGTAAAGATGACCTCGCAGGGAGACGCTGCAATCACACAAGTGACCTTGGGCCGGTCGTTTGTGACTCAGTTTGCTCCCCTGCAAGCTGGGGAAGATACGCCAGCGCAAGGGCCTTCAGGAACACTGAAGCACGAGAAAACGTGTGTGCGGCAAGTAGAGGGAGCTCCCTGAGGGGGCCCGCTGTCGCTCGGCGTCTGACGGGAGTCCGGCCCCCCAACCGGGCCAAGGCACTCACGGGGCACGACGCGCAGGGCGCACGCCCGCGCGCGGCGCAGCACGTTGGGGATGCCCTTGCTGAAGTAGTGCGGGAAGGCGCGCTGCTCGAAGGGCGACAAGCTGTAGGTGATCACATGCCGCAGCCGGATGAGATTCCCAAACTCGCGGCCCATGGTGGTGGCGGCGGCGCCTGCAAGACCGAGGGTGGACGGGCGCTTGCCTCAGTCCTGGGACGCACCGCCCCCGACCCAAGACGCCCTCCCCGGAGCTCCTCATCCTTCCCGACCCAGGCGGCGCCCTACCCTCCCAGGGACCCCCACGACCGCGCGACCGGACCTCACTCCCGCGCGGGGGGTCACCTCGCCCTCCGCAGTCCCGGGAACCACGGGCCTCCGTCCGTCACTTCCGCCAGGTTTGGACGCCGGTCCAGGAGGCCGTGAAGTCACTTCCGGGGAATACCATTTTCCGGCCGTCTCCAGGGGGGGGCGCCGTTGCTCCCCCTTTTGCGGGGAAGTGCCCTGGCCGGGGTGGGGGTGGTGGCCCGCCTGAGGGCGGGGCCGAGCGCGGGACTCCAGGCCCCAACGGGCTTTGTGGCCGGGGTGGGGGGGTGCCCCTCGAGGCCTTCACGGCACCCCTCAGCCTCCTGTCACCGCGGGGAGCGGCCCGCGCCGAGGGGCGCAGAGAGGTGTAGAGAAGGGCCAGCCGGCGTCGAGGGCGCGTTGGCCGGGCCCCGAGGGCCTGTGGAGAGCGCCCAGGGGCCGGAGGAGGGGCCGCCGCATGCGGCCTTCTACGCCCCGCTCCGGGCGCTAAAGGGGTCGGTTCTTCTCAGAACATCAGCGACCCCGGTACCAGGATCAGGGACGTGCCTCTGGGGCTTCTCCCGGCCGCCGCGGTCCGAGAATCCACGGGCGGGGCTTAGACTGTGACTGTCCCCGGGTAGCATAAAAACGTTTCCTCAAGTTGCGCCCCAGGAGGAGTCCCCAATGAATGGGCACACAGTTGATAACCGGCCGGGGGTGGCGGTAGGAGGGACGAGGCCGCCTCCGCGGCCGCGGGCTTGCCACCACCTCCCACCCAGGTCTGGCCGGGGGCGGGCTGCGCAGCCGGGTAGGGCCCGCCGCCCACGCTTCTCCACTGCCCCGTGGGCGTTCTCGGCGTTTCCGAAAGCGCTTTCTACGGAAGGATGCTGCCGGCCTGGCCTTTCTGCCTGAAGCAGAGCGTCTGTAAATGTTTTGTTCGTGGATATTGCTGGCCATATGTGATGTCGGAGTAAGCTGTCGTTCAACAGTTGGCGTGTGTTTTATGGAACCCTGCCTCCTAGCCAGGGGCCGGGGAGTCTTGGCAGGCAATGAACTTAAAATTTGCAAGCATGCCTCGGTTTCATCAACCTAGGTACTGCACCGACTGCTTTTTGAATCTCGTACCAGGAGTGTGGGTTGACTTCCTTTCAGCATGGTCTGTCTGTTCGCGGGTGCACTGGAGATGCACTCATTTCAGGCTTTCATGGCGCACCTTTGTCTCGTTTTCCTAACGCATCATTTCTAGCCTTTGTCTCAGCTCCAAGAACTTAAGTCCTTATACCAAGAACAAAAACACCCTAGCAAATTAAATTAAAAATTAAAATTAAGGTAATTAAAAAAAACAAACCCTGCAAACATCTCCAAACCTTTCAACCAAAATATGTGTAGATGAATGTGCAGACCAAAGGCTCAAGATATTATATTTAAAAATGAGTAGGGGCGCCTGGGTGGCTCAGTCCTAAGGCCTCTGCCTTCAGCTCGGGTCAGGATCCCAGGGTGCTGGGATGCAGCCCTCCATCGAGCCCTCCATGGGGCTTCCCGCTCAGCAGGAAGCCTGCTTCAGCCTCTCCCACTCCCCCTGCTTGTGTTCCCTCTCTCGCTGTGTCTCTCTGTCAAATAAATAAATGAAATATTTTAAAATAAAAATGAGTCAAGGTTAAAGGTGATGTCTTTTTTAAAAGCATACTTCAGTATTCCAAGTACATATTCCATAGTAAGCTCCCTGAGAACTGGGCAACCCAACAGTTCCCTGCTCTCTGGAATTTCAATGCCAATTGTGACTTTTTCTCACTCTCCAAATCAACATGCAGTAAGTAATTATTCTAAGCACCTGGAAGTGGGAGCGGTGACGAGGATGAAGGGAGAGGAAGAGTGAATCCAATACACTGCATATCAACAGATCTTCCTATCATCCTGAATAGCTTTCCCACTTGCTTTGGAAGTTTCAGCAAGCACCTAAGGAACCTTTTAAGAATCCTAATCTCAAAAAAATGGGTGGTTCTAAGATCATTTCTCAATTCTCTTGGCCTTTCAGCTTGCATAACTAGTCCATTGGCATAACAATAACCTAAGAGGTTTTAAATAAATGCCTCTTTAAAAGGGAGAAGGGAAAAAGGGGGAGAGGAAACCTAAATAACCAGATGCATCCATCTATTATCTAATGACAAATTGGATAAATAGGACGTTATCAGCGGTTTGATGCACAGCTGATAAAAATTATCTTCAGCTAGGCATCCTTGAGGTCTGATTACAGAAGTGACCCTAGCCTACCCACGCACCTAAAGTTTATTTAAGAGATTGACGTAGGCTCTTCCGGGCTTTTAGCAAGAAGACTGGTAGGGGGAAATGTATCCCTTGCTAGTTCTTTGAGGCCATGGCACTTCTCGGCAACTTCTTCCTTTGGTTTTTCTGCTTTTCCTGGCTGTGTTTTCCTATTAGCCTTGGTTCTCAGGCTTCTAGAGGAGAACCTCAAATTGCAGCTGATGCTGAGTTGGAATCTGAGGCTGAGCCTTGGTCTTTGCTGCGGCCTCTAGATGGAAGAGAGAGATCTGGCTTCCTTTCTCCTCTTTTCAAGGTTCTGTATGGTGGGCAAGGTGGCACCCCCAGGCTGCAGCCAGACTCCAGAGCTTTGCGCTACATGAAGAGGCTCTATAAGGCATATGCTACCAAGGAGGGGATCCCTAAATCCAACAGAAGTCCTCTCTACAACACTGTTCGGCTCTTCACATCCTATGCCCAGCACAAGCAGGCTCCTGGGGACCAGGCAACAGGTATGTAGGAGCAGATCTGTCCGTCTGCCCCAAGGGTTAATGGGTGGTGGGAAGCTGATAGACTTGTCTGTGTTTCAGCTACAGAATGGAGCTGGGCCTTGCTCTTTGAATTACTTTTTATTTTGCATGATACTCAGTATCCCTATTGAAACAAATCCGGTACTTGACCTTACTGTTTCTTTGTAATGCCATCATGGATTAATGTGGGCTCAAAGGTGAAACTTCAGAGCTACAAGAGACTTAATGGCTCTAAAGACTGAGCAGAGTGTTGCTGGAGGTCAGCATCTTGTCCAAAGTCACAAAATCAAGACTGGAAACCTGGTATTTTGACCTCTGTTTGCTTATTATTCCCATTCTATTCATGCTGACCTGGAAATGTGTCTGAAACGTCTCCTAGCTACTGGTATATTGTGTTAAATAGGATGTTTTCCCCTTGTTTGTTGCTTTCTGTGAGAGGCAGACTGAAGACAGCATTTGCAACAGTAGGTCCTCCCAAGAACAGTGTTAGTCATCAATCTGACCCAGCACCTTGGAGTCCTGTGTGAGAGAAAGGAGCGGTGCTTTAAAAAAAAAAAAACTAGATTCACTAGCTCACGACCAAAACCATTCTAACCCAATGGGTCAGCTGCGGCTGTTTATTTTTTTCTTCTTAAAGATTTTATTTATTTGATAGAGACACAGCGAGAGAGGGAACACAAGTGAGGGAGAAGGAGAAGCAGGCTCTTCACTGAGCAGGGAGCCCGATGCGGGGCTCAATCCCAGGATCCTGGGATCATGACCTGAGCCGAAGGCAGACGCTTAACGACTGAGCCACCCAGGTGCCCCCAGCTGTGACTGTTTAAAACCTTTCCTTCGGGTGCCTGGGTGGCTCAGTTGGTTGAGCGACTGCCTTCGGCTCCAGGTCATGATCCTGGAGTCCCGGGATCGAGTCCCGCATCGGGCTCCCGGCTCAGCAGGGAGTCTGCCTCTCCCTCTGACCTTCTTCCCTCTCATGCGCTCTCTCTACCATTCTCTCTCTCTCTCTCTCAATAAATAAATAAAAATCTTTAAAAAAAAAATAAAGACCTTTCCTTCTTCCTTGAGGTCTTATTTTATGAGATTGGTTTTAAAGCTTCCATTTGTTATCAATCTCAAGTGTTCCAAATTAGATCATTAAGTTCTTTATTCTGTTCATTAGGGCTTAGAAAGTCTTTATTAAGGCTGATAAGTGTGTTTATTACAGTTATCTCTCCAGAGACTTTCCTAAGAGGAAAAATAGTATTTACTAGCTTCTATGTTTGGAGTCATTTACTGAGATTGGGAAACGTAATGATTCTCCACTGTTTTTATTCACCACCAAAGCTGTTCAGAATTTTTGGTGATAAAATAGCCAGTTGTACTCACTGGCAGTTAATTATGGTATCTATCCCCAGTATTTTCTCTAAACCCACCCCCCACCCTTTTTAAGGCTGGAGGAAGTGGGGAAAGAGAAGGGAGAAAACACATTATGAAGGATAAATGCCTTGATTTGACTTGCTATTATGTTTTTGTATTAAAGCACTACTGGTGGGTTGTTTTTCTTCTCAGGATCCGTTCCATCAGTGGACCTGCTGTTTAACCTGGATCGTGTTACTGCCGTTGAAAACTTACTGAAGTCAGTCTTGCTATACACTTTCAGCAACTCCATTTCTTTTCCCTCTGCTGTTAAATGTGTGTGCAACCTGGTGATCAAAGAGCCCGAGTCTTCTAGCAGGACCCCCCATAGAGCTCCGTCCTCATTTACCTTTCACTTACAGTTTGAATTGAAAAAGACATACACATGGTTTGAAGTTGATGTGACCACTCTTCTTCGGCCTCTAGTGGCCTCCAACAAGAAAAGTATTCACATGTCTGTAAATTTTACCTGTTCGAGAGACCAGGGGCAGGATCCTTCAGCTCAGGACAGGCCATTTAACGTGACCCTCCAGGTGCCCCCTTCACTACTTTTATATCTGAATGACACAAGCGCTCAGGCTTATCACAGGTGGTGTTCCCTTCGCTATAAACGGAGGCCTTCACAGAGTGCTGACCAGAACAGGGGTCTGTCTGTCTGCCCCAAACGAGAAGGGTCAGCTGAGGGTGTAAGATCTCCTCGTCACCGGAGAGGTCAGGAAACCGTCAGCTTGGCATTGAACAAGCCTCTGGTTCCAGCTTCTTTGAATCTGAGTGAATACTTCAAACAGTTTCTTTTTCCCCAACACGAGTGTGAGCTCCATGACTTCAGGCTAAGCTTCAGCCAGCTGAAGTGGGACAACTGGATTGTGGCCCCGCCCAGATACAACCCTCGATACTGTAAAGGGGACTGTCCAAGGGCAGTTGGACATCGGTATGGCTCGCCAGTTCACACCATGGTGCAGAACATCATCCACGAGAAGCTCGACTCCTCAGTGCCAAGACCATCGTGTGTACCTGCTAAATACAGCCCTCTCAGTGTTTTGACCATTGAACCCGATGGCTCAATTGCTTACAAAGAATATGAAGACATGATAGCCACTAAGTGCACCTGTCGTTAATATAGGGTTCTCTAAACTAAAACCTTGAGCCTCTTCAGCAAAGGAAATACCGTATGCCTCTCTGTGCCTTCAAGGGAGAGCTCTGTGCCGAATGGCTATAATGGGGTATGTGTTGTGTAAGGAGGTGCCTGTGTAGATTCTGTGACATCCCTCAGTGTAAAGTAACATCTGCCTCTCTTATTTTCAAATGTAAATGAATATTTTGGAGGGCTTCAAACTTTTTTTCCTGAGCGATTTTTTTCTTTTCGTTGGGAGTCTGGTTATTGATGTAAGAAAAAAAATCTTAACATAAATCTTGGATGGAATTGCAGCCTAAATACAGTTCTGAGTGCTATAGTTTTATTTAATGTAAGAATAAATCCCTCTAGTGGCATAAATTTACCGTGTGTGTGTGTGTTTCTTTTTTTTAAAGGATTGCTCTTAAATGGTCTTTGGGGAGAGAGAAGTAGTATAATCTATAAGCTAGTCTTGGCTTAACTTTTTAGTTAAGAGAAGTTAGCTTTTCTACCTAAAACCTGGTGAAGGACATTTACTGGGACTGGAAGCACATAACCTATGCCTGCTGTATCAGTGTGATGGGAGCACTGTATGCTAATTCAGCTCTTCGGGTGGCATGTATAAATAGGGTGACTCACATCAAACGGTATAACATTTGTCCCGTTTATCTAACGGAAATTGCCTTGCAGATTTTGACAAGAAAATGCAATGTTCAAGATTTTTAGAATATTTTCTCCTTTATGTATTTAAAACCTCTGACCCTATGGAAGGAAGTCAGGGAACATTTTTTCCTCTTTTCATTTTTGTTTGTTTTTGCAGATTTCCCTCAGCTCCCATCACTCCGCCCCCACAAATTTTTTCCAGGTGGTTTTGGGAGTGTTGCCATTAAATGAACCTGGCAGTGATTAGGTTACATTACAGAACAAGCCTGGTTTGGATATCAGGACTTATATGTGAGTTTTCAATAAATCCTACCTTGGGAGAGCCCTAGAGGTACAGGGTTAGGACCAATGTAGGGATGCCTGTTTCAACGTTTCTAACACCCTAATCTACAAACCAAAGTAACTCCTAAATGTGAGATGTACTTTTCATTTTTTTTTCTTAGTTTTATTTACTTGAGTAAACTCTTCACCCAACATGGGGCTTGAACTCAGAACTGCAAGATGTAGACTCTCTTGCTCTTCCAAATGAGCCATCCAGGCGCCCCCTGAGAATAGAATTCTTAATTTCCTTTTCAGTTTTTTCCTGGTGTGATGCTATCTTGCATACAGGTCACAAGCCTGCACATACTGACAGAAATGCTCTTCTAGCCGCTCCAAAAACATTTTTAAGAAAAATGAGGCTGGAGGTGTCTGGGTGCCTCAGTCGTTAAGCGTCTGCCTTCGGCTCAGGTCGGGATCCCAGGGTCCTGGGTTCGAGTTCCGTGTCGGGCTTCCTGCTCAGCAGGAAGCCTGCTTCTCCCTTTCCCTCTGCTGCTCCCCCTGCTTATGCTCGCTCTCTCCCTGTCTTTCTCTCTGTCGAATAAAATCTTTAAAAAAAAAAGAAACTGTAACAAAGGGAGAAGTTTTAGGTGGCCCAGTTTCCAAGTAACTTTGCCACCTTGTTGTCTAACCTGAAGGAGGCCTTATTCTGTTGTAAATGAGGGTGATAGTCTAAGAGATGGTGTTTCAAGGGTTTTGTCTAGTCTTCTGTCATTCTTCAGGGTAAAAAAATAACTGGCCTGGAAAGGGCATGAATAACTGTGGCGATGTGCAATAGAACTTACTTGAAGGTAAGTCTCTCTTAAAGACAGCCGTTTTCAAATGGACCACATGAAATACGTATCAAGTTAATGTACTCCTCGTAATTCCAACTAAACTGAAATTTTCACCCCCAAAACAGGAATTTCCTTTACTTTTTTCATGGCCTAGTTCTGTGGTTGAGTATGGATATGGTCTGCAATCTGAAGGTTTAGGAAAAAAGAAAAGGAGTTGTTCTGACGGAAGTTAAGTATTAGGGTCAATGCCAAAATTAGAAAAAGTTCATCTTTACAAGTAACTTCTAAAGTTGACTTGTGTATAGTATTTAGATCCTACAATTGTGTAGTGATAGCATAAAGAGCTGTAAGTTTGGCTTCCCTGTTATTTTGGGTTTTTTACGCTTGTTAATCTAGTTTCTTCATTCATAGGACAGTGTTAATATTAAGGGATGGTAAATCTTCTAAATTTAAGTTTCAAAGACTCTTCTGCACGACAGAGGAGGATATACTACTAGTCTCCCAACTGCCTCCTCCAAATGAAACCTGTTTTTCTTTGGTTACGAAAAGCTGACACTTAAGAAATGAGAAAGGACAACGGTGATTGAAATCTGGAAATTCAAGGATGAGGCTACATGTGCCTTAAAGAGATGCATTCAGCTTTGGTATTTAGTTCAGATGAGATAGGAGGTCACCTAATTGGATGGGTGCTTTAGTATGCCAAGGAACAATGGGGCATGTCAAGAGCTGGTTTTACCTTCAGTTGTGAGTTTCCTGCTCCTTATCTGTTTAAATCAACTCCTGTGTTAAATTGAATACTTGGTGTATTGAACCAAACAGGTTCAAGGGCAGAAGCCACTGGACTTGGTTTAGAGCTCAGTTTAGACGGTCTGTGGGGAAATGTGGGGTAAAGGAAGTGTTCATGGTTACATATTGATAAAAAAATGCTCAGAACTTGATATCAAAATTTTAAGTAACCAATTTTAATTTGTAACTTTAGGATTGTAAGTTATAAAATGATAAGTGAAATTAAAATACTTACTCTGTTAGAGGATGTTAGTCCCCAAAACGTTTCTTAATATCTCATTGGCTGAAGGGATTGATAGAAAAGCATTCTGTTTTATCCATTAACTGTTCTCTAAATAGAAATACAAGGAGAAAATTAACACAACCAGGAGATTAAGACACTTCATTTTTTTTTTAATGATTTTATTTATTTGACAGAGACAGAGAGGGAACACAAGCAGGGGGAGTGGGAGAGGGAGAATCAGGCTTCCTGAGGAGCAGGGAGCCCGGTGCGGGGCTCAATCCCAGGACCCTGAGATCATGACCTGAGCCGAAGGCAGACATTTAACAACTGAGCCACCCAGGCGGCCCCAGATACTTCATCCTTGACCAAAATTGACAAGTACGTACTCTTCGTGTGTATAATTACTTACTGATGCAGTTGTCCTTCCCAAAGCACAAATTTACTAGTTAATGTTTGGAAAGGGACCTAATATGTTAGACTAGGGCTATTTCAGTAATTAAAGAATAGGATTTTTTAAGTGGTCTGATAGTATTTCTTTGTCCTACTTCAGTGTGTAATGCAATTTCTAGGGAACAACTGAGTAATATATGTGGTTAAGGGTCAACTGCATTTTGGGCATTTTATTACTTAAGAATAAGGGCTGTGTGAACAGTTTAGAGTCAGTGTCTCTCCCTGTTGGAACGCTGTGACACGCAGTGGTAGAGGTTCACAGCCGGTGCCTCGGTCATTTTGGCTTTCTCAGAAATAATTAGCTCACTGAATAAATATTTATTGAACACCGACTATGGCCCAGGTGCTCTGTGTGGTTAAGAACGGAGTCTGATGTTCTGCGGCAGGAAAAATATATCATGTACCGGAAACAGAGACTTCCTTTATTTCTCTAAATTCCAAGAGGGCTTTTGTCACCACAGAATATTCATTGGAAGAATACATTTTGGGGTGGTACTACAGAAGCAGGCTCAATAGTATCTTTAGATTAGAATTTTTTAAAATAAACTTTAAGGTAATTGTAGATTAACATGCAATAGTAAGAAATACCAGAGAGATCATGTTTATCTTCTTGTTGCAAGGATGCTAAACTTGCAGAACTGTAGCATACTATCAGAATTAGGATATTGTCATTGATAGAATAGATTTTTTTTTTTTTTTTTACATTGAAAGCTACTTGGTCAAGGGAAATGTTCATCCTAACGTCAAAGTTTTGCTAGATCCTGGTATTTTGTGAAGTTAATATTTTGATAGTATTTAATGGTTTAATATTTTTTCATCTCCTGCCATTTCACCCCTACCCTTAAAACTTTGAGCCCATTAAACTATAGTTTTATTTTTAAATTTTTTTTAAGATTTTATTTATTTGAGAGACAGAATGAGAGATAGAGAGAGAGCATGAGAGGGAAGAGGGTCAGAGGGAGAAGCAGACTCCCCGCTGAGCAGGGAGCCCGATGTGGGACTCGATCCCAGGACTCCAGGATCATGACCTGAGCCGAAGGCAGTCACCTAACCAACTGAGCCACCCAGGCGCCCTAAACTATAGTTTTATTAATTCAATAAGTACCTATTGGGTGTACACCACATGTTAGATACTCTTCTAAGTGGCGTCATAGTGGTAAATAAGATAAACATGGTACTTGTTCTCCCGGAACTTTATATCAGTGTGGCGAGACAGACAATATACAAATACCATGAGCAGCCATATCCAGGAGCTTCTAGGCAGGACAGAGGTGAGAATGAACTTGTGTTCTAAGGACAGAAAGAACTGGGTGTGACTGGCAAGTAGAGGAGGAGAAGGGGTGGGGTTTCAAGTGGAGAAGGGGGGACATGAGATGGAAGAAGCAGACAGACCATATAGATGATAAAATACCTTGTTAGGCCAGCACAAGGGGATTGACTAAGAGGCCGTGGAGAATGTTAAATCAGGGACTGGAAATGGTCAGACTCATTTTTTTTTCTTAAATATTACTCTAAATATTACATGTAGAGTTGTTTAGCAGAAACTAGTCTCAGGGGCGCCTGGGTGGCTCAGTTGGTTAAGCGTCTGCCTTCTGCTCAAGTCATGATCTCCAGGATTGAGCCCTGCATCGGACTTCCTGCTCAGCAGGGAGTCTGCTCCTCTCTTTCTCTCTCTCTCTCTCTTCCCCCCTGCCCCTCCCTACTGCTCATTCTCTCTCAAATAAAATCTTAAAAAAAAAAAAAAGGCTGAAGCCTGAAGGCCCTCTGGGCTTTAGGGGGCTGTTGTCA